AAATACATTCACGAGGTTGCCCCAAAACCACAAAATGCAGGTACAAAAAAAATAAACAAGGAAGCATTGAACAAATATATACAGTATTAACCTAGCATTTCTCAATTTCCGAGGCTCATGACTAAAGTATTTCATTTCAACGCAACCAATTTAAATTTAACCCCACTCGAAGAAACGCAAATTTAATTGTTGAGCTTTTACCATTTCTAAAGACTTGTTTTTTTTTTTTAGATTGTGCTCGATATCATGGGATGAACTCAAAATAAAAAAAGATTAAATCTTCTTAGAATGATTAGACGAATTTGAATAAGAATCTTCAACATTCAGTAAATTGTAAATTTAAGACCACTGGTGGCGAAAAGTAATATAATCACTTACAAAAGTTTTGAACTCTTTAAGGGTAACCCTCTTCTAATGTCGATACTTTAAGCATGTCTAAAAAGCTGTTGTCAAAGGGAAAATATGCCAAATAATGATTCCCACAGCTTCTCGTCTTTGGCCAAACTCACAGTTACCACGGTACTGCACACACATTCAAAAACCTTTAATCAATATTCTCTGATGCTCATGTGGCATCGCCAGGCACAATATTAAGCAGAAAACATTAAAAAAAAAATCTCGTTACAAAGAAATCAATGGGGCCTGTAGAATAGCTTCGTCATGACGAAAAACTCTACAAAAACATCGTGAATATTACGGAGGGACCTAGAAACGAATTCCTCGTGCCATTTACCACAATTCGTTTCAGAGGGATTTTTTTCACGCGTTTCTCCACAACTGCATTATGGCAACACTTCACGACGGACCCATGAAATAATTTCGCATGCAATTGCTTACAATCAACCGACAGCTCCACAAATGCAGAAATTCGCCATTCAACGCGCAAAAAAAAGTTTCCCAGTAAAATCACATCAGCTCTTCTGCAGTTTATAAAACAAAACATGAAACTTGGTATTTTAAAATCCGGAAAATGAAATTTCCAAGATATTCCCAGGAGCAGTGAACCAGTACTGCGATTTCTTCATCGCATGCACATCAAAGCTCTCACTACAGTCCAACAATAACGAACCGGAATTCCTTGGGGATTTAAAATCATCTTCATTTGAAAGACGAGAGAAGGGTTTGGGCGCAGATAAATAAGAGAAAAAAAAAGGTTCTAAAAAAAATTGAGAGGTCTACAGTCCAACAATAACGAACCGGAATTCCTTGGGGATTTAAAATCATCTTCATTTGAAAGACGAGAGAAGGGTTTGGGTGCAGATAAATAAGAGAAAAAAAAAGGTCCTAAAAAAAAAAGAGAGGAAGCATTTCATGATTCGAAGTCAGGAACTTTCACCGCACCCGAAAATGCAATCAAGATAGAATCCACCATAAATTCCCCCCCAGACAGAAATTACTTTGGAGAGAAATGAAACTTCTCTTCTTTTCCATCATCTCGTTGTAGGTCAACAGTTTCGGAACTTGATTTCCTCCTCCTCCCCCCGGTTCTCCGAAAATATACACGTTACTTTTGTAACATTAATACGCTGGATAACATCTTGAGTGGAATATTTGGGATACGACGAAAAAGTTTCTCGCCTCAGCTTCAATGCATAATAACGGCTTATAGAAACCTTACAATAAAGGTTTTTAGAAGGCAGGTAAAAGACGTAAGAAAAAAATTTATGTCTTAAAAGTAAAGTAAGCACGTTATAAGACCCACTTTCAGTGGCCAGCCCTTTTTCGAATTTTTTTTCAAGAAAGAACAAGCAATATCGTGGAATTTTCTTTTTAATTTCCCTCAGTCAATCAAACCTTTTTTACATTTATACTTTGCCTACGGCGGATTTATATGATATAAAATATTTTTAAAAATTCAATCCTCAAGGATTGAACGGGTCAAACCTTTTCGGGAATGTCAGTTGTACTGTTTTATACAAGCACGAGTATATTCTCAAGTTTTTGCTGTTGCTTCCTAGACAATGTAACTAAGTTCTTAAAATACTTCTGGTGAAGAAAAAAACTGTTTTCTTTGTCTTCCAGACGGAAAAAGCTAGGCTTAGCGCAATGGAAGCCGGATTTGATTTCCAAGAAGCATCAAGTATCATTTCGTGCCAGGGGTTCTTGACCGAGTTCTGGTTCACTCAAGAGGTCAAAAGTCCATGATTGTTATTTTTTGCGAGCGATTTCAAAATTAAAATATGCAAGCTTCATTTGTCGGACTGTATACGAGGGCAGATTGGGTTAAGACGACCTGAAAACCTCTTTTAAAAAATGATTTACATTTTTTCGTTGCTCATGGATGACTTCCATTTATCTTCTGAACACTTTTTCAGCCTGTTTTCTCAAGATTTCAATTAATTTTTGGGCCCGTGACGCATGTAGGGATACCAACAGAAAAAAAATTTAAAGGTATTGTAGATAGCCTAAATTCTTCTTACTACACCAGCTAATTATTCAAAAAACAATTCTTTTTTTTTCAAAAATGCAGTATCAAAAAAAAATATTGAAAATCAATTGGATTGCAATTACATTCGAGTAAAACTGACACACTTATTACTTCAATTTCTGAATGAATTTTCCCTCGAAATTTCCTGGCAATCTTGTATTTTCCCGGCAGCAAAGAAAAAATTGAAGAGGTAAAAAATAACAACAAATGTATGAATGCAATCCTCTAATCAAGGTCAAATTATGACTTTTCCGGTTGTATTTTGACGTGTGCAGTAGACTTGGGTAAAGCGTTCTTCATTTCGCACTGACACGTTTACTCGCGGCCAGTAAGCTCACGGTAAGGGGTTGTCTAGGTAATTTAACTTTAAAGCATAACTTGCACAAAACAGGACCAATCGAACTCTAATTGAGGAATACAGTATCATCATTTTGATTTTGGCGAAATTGTGGAATTTCGAAGCCGTCGTAACGTCCGGTAGTTAGTTTTTTTTTTCAAAGGGGGAATTCGAAGATTTCCCAGTTCTTTTTTTTTATTTTGTGGCCCGGTTTTGTCCGGAGGTTTTTATGATTACATGAGATATTTTCCTCAAATAACAAGGGTTTTCGGTTTTTCGGTCCACAATTTCGCCAATCATGAGCTTTCTTTTAAAAGCAAACCACCTTCATATAAAACCATGAAATCGAGAAAATAATTAATTTTATCTCTTTCCTTCAGTTGTCCGGAAAAGAATCTACCAGTCGTTGTCCGAATTTCATTGCAAATGGTGTGCTGTATTTTTCCAAGTGATTATTGTTGCGTAAAATGTGGTGTAAATGCTTTTAGTTTCGTCTTCGGCAGGGCTAAGAATTTCCAAGAACAAACGCGTTTCAATTGAATCTCGGTGATGTTGAAATTCCTTCTATCGCGAATATTTTAATTAGAGCGAAATCGTTTCGAGATCCCCGGCCGAAACTTCTATAGGCACAATGCTAAAAATCGTTGTTCGCCGGAAACTTGAACAATTATCCACTGTGATCTCTTCGAAACACTTGGAAAATCTAAAACTTTCGAAATGAAGGGTTTTGAGGATGAGAGAATCCACTTGACGTGTGGTTGCCCAAAAGTATGTTTGTTCTTGTCAATTCAAAGCCGTATACGACTAAACCAAAAGCATTCACAGATTTTCCGCGACCAAAAAAATATGATGGTTATTCCATCCTCAAAGGAAAAAAATTTCTTAGCTGCACAACAAACTTCCTCGAACATAGTCCACCTATATAATCCATATACCAGTATAACCAAGGTGGGAACCTCCTAGAAATAATAATCGAAAAATAAAAATAAAATCATCATAATGAAAAAGAAAAGAAAAAAATTAAAATAAAATAGACTGAAACTGAGCATTCTGGCGAAAACAGGAAGGCCTTCGACCAGGGCCTCCCCTACTTGATCCTACTAATGCCCACTTTGCATCAATTAGCCGCACGCAAGAAACCCGGCTCACGTTTCCCACCACCCATAATGATCACTTGCACCATCCAACAATAACACTCATTCATACGCGACGATATCATCCCACAATCGGCATTCTTTTCCGCGAACAAAAAATAAATAAATAAAATATCGGATGGAAAATACGCCTATTACGATTATTTCGCTCGATCGAATCGGGAGATATAAAGAAGAAAAAAAATGAATACCACGCAAACACTGTTTCCTTTAGCCACACAATCGTTGGTTTGTTCTTTATTCATAAAAAAAAAGGACCTCGCTAAGCAGCTAGTTAATGTAAAGGTTCCTATAGGGCTTTGAACACCTGTGTATATCGTTGGTGCTTTTGGAAAGGGTCCTAAAAGTCTGTGAGAACAGTCCGGGTTTTGCTTGGCGTTCTAAATGAAAAATTTGTGTCAAATTACGGAGTTATCAAAGATACATTTTCGTATTAGCAAGTGAAGGATGAGTGCAATTAGTTATTCTGACACTTGAGTCACGTATAATTTTTTTCCCCTCCATCAAATCAAGACCAGGCGATTTTCAAAAATACATTTTCAAAAAATAGTGTGTCTTACACCGTCACACAAGAAAATTTCGCCACGATAACGAAAATTCACCAAACAAGTAGGAAATTCTCACTAGAAGATCAACACTTCAAAATTTTCGAATGGACACTAATCGCATGAACTATTTCTAGATTACTTCATTTTTATTCATATCAGAAATCAGCCTCTCGGCGATTATAACTGACCCGAGTTAACAGCTTTAAAATGTCAGCATCTTGGTGCTCATCCTTGCAGTGAAATCAAAGAGGTCGTTCGCAAATAAAAAATAATAATTGTCCACGGCAGTCAAATGTTGATAACTAGGAAAAACAAATGCAATTCAGAAGATTTTTTATTTTTATTTTTTTAGTGACGAAGCTTTCAGAATATTGACTCATTTAAAATTGCAATCCAAATTAGCCTCATCAAACCTCATATAACCTATTAAAACCTTACTGACTTCGTTTCAAGACGTTGAAAATAGCTAAAAAAAATACCAAGTCTTCGTAATCTGTAAATGTTCATCGTTTTGCAGAATTAAATGGGAAAAATTAGCCACGGTTCCCTTCTGAATACAAAAATGCTAGTAAGTTTCCGGAGAAATCGTATGCATTGGACGACGCGTCACGCGTCTGATCGTATCTTTTGGGTTGCCTCAAAATACAACGCACGCATATTTTTGTAAAATTTGCATAGAAATGCAAAAATATAAAAAAAGCAAAGGGACTAACCTCAGTGTGTACCAGATGTCGAAACTCATGACGTTGAGCCAGAGGAAGGCCGAGAGAAACGAGTAGTACATGACGCAAGCTGAAAAAAAGAAAAAAATTAGAAAAAGAACATTCAATTTACTTTCCTCCATCAATGGAAGAATGTTTTCTCCCAAAAAATTCTGTTCCGCACTTGGAATTCAATTTCAAAATTCTCTCTATTCCATCTAAAATCCCAATACTGTACCTTTCTACTTCCGTCGGAATGAAAAAGGGGGGAAAATGGAATACAAAATGAGCGCTTACAAATTCCACCCAGAAGCTGAACTGGAAATAATTTCGAAACCATTTCAAAATAAATTTCCTTCTGGTTCATGGAGATGCACGCATACACAACTATCTTCTGGATATTCGCTGTCGTTTCTGCGCAGAATTGCACTTTTTTTTTTTGAGTAATGATGAATGTAGCTTATTTTTTCGAGAAGAAACCATGCTGCGTTTATTTTTATTTTTAGTAAATAAAAAATAAGCCTGACGTTTACGGAAAATACACTTTAACTAAAAACTAAGGACTTCACAGAATGAAATACGAAAGCAGCGCAATAGTGAAATGCAGCCAAACGCATTTTTGCTCGCTATTTTGCAATCCCTCCCATTTGACTCGGTTGCTTGTTCCCCCTTTTTTTACTGCTTCTATTACAAGGTTCTTGAAAAATGCCCAGGAAACACTTTTTGGCCACAGTATAACACAAGGTGATTCAAGCACGAAAAAAAGGACGTGAATATCTAGCAGAATTCGAAGATTGAACAATAATTTTCGTACAGCAATTATTTTTGGGAGCGAAAAACCCGTTCTGATGATGCCAATATTTTTTTGCAAGTTTTACGCATTGTCTCACCTTCCGTTGAAACAACTTTTACATTCATAAGTTCATCATTATTTGAAAATGGTCTCTTTCTTAAAACGATTTTCTTTGTTCAACGAATTTTTCGACCCCTTGAATCTAGGTGAACTCCAAAAAATCGTTATTACACTGAAAGTTGTTATAGAAAGGGAATATTTTCCGAAAGACGATCAACGAACAATAAACTTCGCGTTTACGGAAGGTGGGGCAATGTGTAAAAATTGTGGCAGGATTTTTGTGGTCATCCCCTGAATTTCGTTGTATAGAATTTTTAGGGCATGCGCAAATAATCCCTTCCCCCCCCCCCCCACCCCCCTTTAAAAATTAGCACTATAGAGAGATGAGTCAGGGGCCAGAAAAAATTCGTTGTAGAGAGTTCACCTAAACTTTCTGCGGATGAATTGTAAAGGAGGAGTCCCTAAACACAACGAAATACAAGGGATCAGAAGAAGAAAAAATCGTTGAAGAGGTAATTTTCGATTCAACGAATCCCCAAAAAAATGGGTAGAGAACCCTACGAAACCAAAGAAAAACTCATTTTACAGAGAAAATCGCTGTAGACCAGATCGTTGTAGAGAGAGAGAAAATTCACCTGCATTATAGAGAGTAAGTGAATCACACTTTCACCATCAGGGATTATCGATAAGTTCGTACTAAATTTTTCAGTGATCGCATCCCCAAAAAAATCCCTTAAAGAATAATAAAAGAAGTTTCTTTCTCTCTCCCTCGTTTATTCCTTTTTGTTGTCGTCGTCATTGAGTATGTGTCATTCCAGCAAGTGTTTCTTCATCATCATCATCAGCTCAACACGAAACGACTCACCGACAACAACACACGCCACTTCATCCTCCAGAGATCCCCCGATCTGCAACCAGGTCAACAGGGAAATCGCCACCAAGAGACACGCCACGTGACTCAGCAGCGTCCAGGTCGCCACTCGGCCGCCATCGGGCAACAAAAACC